GACCGCAGGCCCACGCTCTAACCGCTGAGCCAAACAGGCCAGGGCAGATTTTTTTTTTAAATCCTCACCCTACGATATGTTTCCATTGATGTTTAGAAAGAGTGGGAGGGAGGAAGGGGGAGAGACAGAGACATTGATGTAAGAGAGATACATCGATTGGCTGCTTCCTTCATGACCCAAAGGAGGGGCCAGGGATGGATTCTGCAACCAAAGTACATGCCCTTGACTGGGAATCAAACCTGAGACTCTTCGGTCCATGGGCTGACATCACTGAGTCAAACCAGTCACTGCATCACTGGATTTTAAACAAAATAGCAATGCAGCCCTGGCTGGTTTTGCTCAGTGGTTAGAGCATCAACTTCACAGACCAAAGGGTGTCAGGTTTAATTCCTGATCAAGGGCACGTACCTGGGTTGCTGGTTCAATCTAGAGCCCCGGTTGGGATTGTGTGGGAGGCAGCCAATCGTTGTGTTTCTCTCCCATGAATATTTCTCTCTTTCTCTTCCTCCCTCCCTTCCAATCTATCTAAAAAAGCAATGGAGCCCTTGCCGGTCTGGCTCAGCGGTTAGAGCATCAGCCTGCGGACGAGAGAGTCCCAGGTTCAGTTTCTGCTAAGGGCACATCCCTCGGTTGCAGTTTGTCCCTGGCCCCAGTTGGGGTCTTGTAGGTGGCAACCACTCGATGTGTCTCTCTCATATCAATGTTTCTCTTTTTCTTCCTCCCGCCCTCCCTCCTGCTCTATCTGAAAATAAATGCAAAAAAAAAAGGCAATGGAAAAATATCCTTGTGTGAAGACTAACAACAACAACAACAACAAATAGCAATGCAAATGTTCTTTAAAGATATGGAGACAATTCCAAAGGAATCAGGTAAAATAGTTGATAAGCAAAGAGTAAGAAATGGTGGGCAGTGATGTAGAAGAGGCTGCATTGGAGGACTGCTGTTTGTAATAAAGTTTGACTCTCTCCTAAAGGTAATGGGGACTTACCTACCCATCACCTTGGAGCTCTAAGCAGTTAGGCTCTGAACATAAGATAGTGAGATCAGATCTGCATTTCATCAAGGTTACTCTAGTTATTTTGTGGAGAAGAAGTAGAGGGAGGAAAGAATGGATACAGGGTATCTGTTAGGAAGCTTAGCTAGTATAGCCTGGAATCTAGACAGAAAATGATTTTGGCAGGATTCAGGTATGGCCACAGGGTAGGTACAAGTAGACAGAGTTGTGATCTGGTCTGATTACTGTACTGTGGGATAGAAGAGGGAAGACTCAGGGCTGACACTGCACTTCCTAGTCTGGAAAATGGGTAGGTGAGGGGCCATTCCTTAGTAGAAGAGGAGTGAGTCTGGAGGGAATGGATTGATTGCAGTTTGGGACATCCACGTGGAATGGCTACAAGGCCATTGCAGATACAGATCTGGAGCTCAGTAGAGAAAGTGGGAGATGCAGATCTGAAATCAGTAGCACAGAAATGACACCTTAAGTCCTGGGAGTGGATGAGATTACTCAGGATGTGGGCAAAGAGTAACCTGCAATGAAGGCAGAGCCTGAAGGGAAGAGGAAGAGGAGTCAGCCAAAGGGGTGACAGGAAGCTGGCAGAGGGGCAGCAGGAAGGCCTGTGTACTATGGAAGTCAGGGAAGAGAATGCTCAGCAGTATTCAGTGGAACTGAAAGGGTGACTGAGACCAGAATGAGAACCCCTGCACTGGAAAGGCAAGGAGGGACGGAAAAGAGCTACGCCCCTAGGGTGGTGGGGGAGGCTGAGGTGGACCTCTGAGCCAGAGCTCTCATTTTAATCTCTGTTTAACTGAAGGTAATAATAGGACATATTCTTGAGTACTTATTGTGAGCCAAATACTATATAAGGTACTTTACATACTATATCTCATTTAATCTCCAAAGGAACATCACTTCTATGAAATTGATGCTATTATTAATAACACCCTTATTTTCTAGATGAAGAACCTGAAGTTTAAAGAAGTTAAGCAATTACTCACAGGGGTAAGCAGATAGGCTGACATTTGTTCTCAACAAATCTGACTGTAGTGTGTACACTCTTAAACATTGCACTTTGCCTCTAAACAACCTGCCAAAAATAACACTCTTCACTTGTCCATTCTGCAAATCTGCTGTGTGCCAGGTAATGGTGGTCCTGGTGCTAGTGATCCAACAGTATACAAAGCAATGCCCCTGATCTTATAGAACTTACTTTCTAGTGTTGGAGACAGACAGTAAACATATTTTAAATGTGCCTTTTCTTTTTCTCTTTTTAAATTTATGCTTATTGTTGAATGTATTACAGATGTCCCCCCTTCTTCCCCGACTTGACTTCCTCGTCTCCACTCCCACCCCTCTCCCGTCTTCCCCACACTATCGTCTGTGTCTATTGGTTATGCATATATGCATATAAGTTCTTTGGTTTCTCTCTCCCCGCCCCACCTCCCCGCTTCCCTTTGAGGTTAATCAGTCTAACAACCAATTTGTATTTCCTAATCCCTTCATCTTTTTCACCCAACTCCCCTTCTATCTGGTTACCAACAAAAAGTTCTCTGTATCTATGAGCCTGCTTGCTCATTTTGTTTGTAGATTCAATTGTTGATAGATTTGTATTTATTGCCATTTTATTGTTCATATTTTTTTATCTTCTTCTTCAAGAAGACCTGTCAACATTTTATATAATACTGGTTTGGTGGTGATGAACTCTTTTAGCTTTTTCTTGTATGGGAAACTCTTTATATGGCCATCGATTCTAAATGATAGCTTTACAGGATAGAGTAATCTTGGTTGTAGGTCCTTGCTTTTCATCGCTTTAAATATTTCTTGCCACTCCTATCTGACCTGCAAAGTTTTTGGGGTTTGTTTGTTTTTTTTGAGAAATTGGCTGATAGCCTTATGGGAGCTCCATTGTAGTTAACTAACTGCTTTTCTCTTGCTGCTTTTAAGATTCTCTCTTTGTTTTTAACCTTTTGTATTTTGATGATAATGTGTCTTGTTGTGGACCACTTTGGGTTCATCTTGTATGGGACTCTCTGTGCTTCCTACACTATATGTATGTCTGTTTCCATCACCAAGTTAGGGAGGTCTTCTGTCATTATTTTTTTCAAATAGGTTTTCAATTTCTTGTTCTCTTTCTTCTCCTTCTGGCACCCCTATGATGCAAACATTAGCACACTTGAAGTTGTCCCAGAGGCTCCTTACACCACTACCCTCATTTTTTTGGGGGGGGGGGGATTTTTTTTTTTTTTCTGTTATAATTGGGTGTCTTTTGCTTCCTTATATTCCAAATTGATGGTTTGCTTCTTGGCTTCACCTACTCTACTTTTGATTTCCTTTAAATTATTCTTTATTTCAGTTAGTGCAGCCTTCATTTCTGACTGTCCTTTATCATGCTCTTGAAGTCCTCACGAAGTTCCTTGACATTCTCCTTAAGTTTCTTGAAATTCTCACTAAGTTCATTGAGCATCCTTATAAGCAGTGTTTTGAACTCTGTATTTGTTAGATTGCTTATCTGCATTTTGTTTTGTTCATTTCCTGGAGTTTTGTTCTCTTCTTTCATCTGGGACATGTTTTTTGTATCCTCATTTTGGCTGCCTCCCTGTGTTTGTTTCTATGTATTAGGTAAAGTTTCTATGTCTCCTAGGCCTACTAGGATGATGTGTTGTAGCAGGTGTCCTGTAGGGTCCAGTGGCACAGCCTCCCTGGTCACCCAGCTGGGCCCTTGAGGTGCACCCCTTGTGTGAACTTTACACCCTTCTGTTATAATTGAATCTTGATTGCTGTTGGCATGTAAATGGGAGGGTTTTACTAAGGATGATCAGCTATAAGGGCTGGCTGTGCCCACTATCCACCAACCTCTGACTACCTTGGAGGATCAGCTGTGCAGGGGCCCACCACAGAAAGCAAGACTTAATCAGGGCTCTGGTACCCACTGAGTCCATTACTTGAGTGTGTCATTTGTGAAAGTGTTGGGTGGTAGTGCTTCAACGTGGTCTGAAGCTGTCCACTGGGTGTCCACCTAGCTCTGGGGCAAGGTCAGCCACTGCCTGTGTTCTACCCAGGGCTATTAGGCATAAGCTACAAAGTGATCTGCTGATGGCTGCTTCTTGTGCTGGGCTTGGAGGTGCCCAGGCAAAGCCAAGCTGGGCCTGGGAACACTTAGCGAGAGGTATGGGGCTTGCTGAGGCCAGATGTTGCTTGTTTGAGAAAATTTAGGAAAATCTGAAGCGGGAGCCAAATTAGGCCAATCCTTTGGTAAATCCCCAAAGTTGGGTGGGGCGGGGCTTCGGGAAATCACCAGGGCAGTGCAAACAGTGTGAGCCAACTTGCTAGAGTCCCAGATATGGCGGCCGTCTGCAGCCCAGAGGAAGGGCTCACCACAGGAACAAAGGCCTCCTTTAGCATGTCTGTCTGAGAGAACGCTGCCTCTCCAGTCCTCTTCCCGAGGCCAAACCATTCAGTTCTTCCCCATATGTCTCTGGCACCTTTCAAGCTGCCTCCCCTCTACACTGGAGCTCAGAGGGAGTGGGTCGAGTAAGTCCATGTGCGGGCCCTTTAAGAGGAGCTGCCTGGGGCTCCCACAGCCGCAGCCTCCCTCAGCCTCATTTCCCTCTGGTTTTTCCAGCCAGAAGTTATGGGGACTTCACTTCCTGGCACTGGAACCCTGAGCTGGGTGCCTGGTGTGGGACACGGACCCCTCAATCCTCAGGGAAAACCTTCCCAGCTGGGGTGTCCCTCCTGGTTTTTATCTGCCACACGTGGGTGTGGGACCAGCCCATCAGCCTCTGCCCCTCTTACCAGTCTGGATGTGGCTGCTTCTTTAATTCTGTAGTTGTAGGACTTCCATTCAGCTCATTTTCAGGTGGTTCTGAATGATGGTTGTTCTGTAGTTTAGTTGTAACTTTGATGTGGTTGTGGGAAGAGGCAAGACTGCATTTACCTGTGCCGCCATCTTGACCGGAAATCCCCTTTTCTTTTTTAAAATAATTTTTTTCTCTTTTTATTGCAGGGCAGAGCAGGAATGCAGTCTCCCACTACCACAAATTATACAGTTGCATTTCCCACATTTGGGGAAATCGCAGGGGTCAGCACATCCCGAGTGCTTTGGATAAGCCTCTCCCTGGGAAACCACCTTCGAGATCGTGGAGGGTACCTCCCCTGCCAGGCAGGAATGCGTGCATTTTCAGTGTGTAGTGGAATGAACACTAAGGAAGCAGGTACGTAGCTGGAGACTGGCTAGAGAGAAGAGCTATTTTAGGTCAAAGGCCTTCCTGAGAGGACATTTCAGCAAAAACCTGAGTGAATTCTGGGACTAAGCCATGAGCAAATGCATTCCAAGCCTAAGGAGGAGGAAGTGGCAGGATCCTGAGGTAAGGGTGGGAGTGGGGAGTGGGGAGTGGGTGCAGAATTAGAAGAAATTGTTAGGCCATCAAATTGGCAAGAGAGGTGGGGCTGTATCATATTCAACCTCATAGGTAAGAGTTTTAGCTGTTGTTCTAGGAATGATGGGAACTCTTGAGAGGATTTGGAGCAGGAAAATGAAATAGTGTAACTCATGTTAGATTACCTTGCAATAGAGCCCGGAATTTGGATTCTGGAACCATCCATTGCTCATTCCAATATTCTCTAAAGCTGAGATGCCATGTGGCTACTGAGCACTTGCTTTTTTTCATCCTCACCCAAGAACATTTTTGCATTTATCTTCAGATAAAGCAGGAGGGAGAAAGGGAGAGAAGAGAGAAAGAGAGAAACATCGATGTGAGAGACACACATCAACTGGTTGCCACCCACACGATCCCAACTGGGGCCAGGGACAAACTGCAACTGAGGTACGTGCCCTGAGCGGGAACCAAACCTGGGGCTCTCTGCTCCACGGACCAACACTCTAACCACTGAGCAAAACTGGCCAGGATGCTACTGAGCACTTGAAATGAGGCTGGTCCACACTGAGATGTGCTCTTAGTGTTAAATGCACACTGGATCTCAGACTTAGTACCAACAAAAGAATGCAATGTATCTCATGAACAACCTTTTGTATTTACTATATGTTGATATGATAATACTTTAGGTATCTTGGGTCAGGTCAATATAATATTCAAATTAATTTCAACTGTTTCTTATTACTTTTTTTTTCTTTATTGATTTTAGAGAGAGAGGAAGGGAGAGGAAAGAGAGATAGAAACATCGATGAGAGAGAACATCGATTGGCTGCCTCCTGCATGCCTCCCACTGGGGATTAGGCCCACAACCTGGGCATGTGCCCTGACAGGGAATCAACCTGGAGACCTCTTGGTGCATTGGTCAACTGAGCCATACTCGCCAGGCTCTTTTTACTTTTTTTTAAATGTAGATACGAGAAATCATATTTTCATTGAACAGCATTGGTCTACATAACTGTTTCCAGCTTCAGAATGCTGTTAAGATAAATGAAATAACTTGCATAGGAGTTTTCTTAAGGAAACACATTACGTGATATCAAGATAAATTATTGAGGATGTTAGTCAGCCAAAAAATATACTGTTCTGTATAGGCCAAAGATAATGTTACCAACTTGGTCATGGTTTTGTGCTGTTTTTCCAACAGTGGTGATGAGTTTGCACAATCACGTGTCATATTTTTCTCCCCACCCCTTCCATCCCCACCCAGTGTTCTGTTATGACCTAAACAGCATGCTTTTGAAATACCTGGCCCAGCTTAAGAATGTAGTTCTCTATCCAGGAAATATTTTCTCTGTGCAAAGAACTCAGTCCTGTATAGGTTTGAACTTCAGCCTATTTAACATGAAATTCTGATTATCTGGTTTATTCAACCAAGGAGGTTTCTTTCAAATGTCAGTAATTATATCGATAATTATAGAATACTCTTGGTTCTTTTATATTTAATTCTAAATGTGGTCAATTAGAATGTACTTAATAGTAAAAACATTTGCATACATGTTCTGACAAACAAAGTTGTTTTTCTTTGTGCATTTATATCTATGGAAAGTCCCACCGTGTTATAAATTAACTCATATTTTGATTGACATATGATAGCATTAAAATATTATTTTAAGACATTGGGATTATTGGGGACAATATATCAATATTACTCTATTCTAGGTCCTCAATAACAGTAAGAAAACAGAAGCATCAGGTGGAAACTCTCTCATCTTTTTTGCCTACTCACTTCTGCTCTCATCTTCTTTTTCTCTCCTGTTAAATAGATGACAACCCTTTATTCTCAATTTTCAGTCTCGACTCTTGTGCTCTGGATTCTGTCTCCTCAAAGACCTCAATGCTTTGCTTAACCCTTCTCTTCTGCGTGTCACCATCTCCTACCCTACTGGACCGTCTCCAACAATAAACAAATAGCTTTGAAATCTCCCATCTTTAAACACACACACACACCCCTCCCTCCCTTGGCCTCACATTTTCTTCCCTTTATAGCTTCTCTACTGCCTGCCACTGACCCACACTGGCTGGGCATTGCCATGGCTTTAAATGCCATCTATTGCTGATAATTTCCAAATGCATATCCCAAATGTAAATTCCAGATTCATATATGCAAGAAGGGTTGCCTATAACTCTGTTTCCTTTTCTTCACCTCCTATTCATTCTTCAAGGTATTACAGTTAGGTTTCCTTCCCCCAGTGAAATTGCTTTTGTCAAAGGCAAGGGAAGACCTCCATGGGAACAAATACAGCAAGTCTCTCTCTTCTCACAGTGCTCTGGTAGAACAAGTGATACAGCTGGCCCCTCCCTCCTTGAAATACTCCTTCCCTGACTGCCATGATGCTCTGCTCTGGTTTCCACCCATCCGACTGGCTGCTCATTCTCAATCTTCTCTCTAGCACCTTTGCTCCTATCAGACCTCTAAATGTTGTGGACAATCTGATTCCTTGGCCTCTTCTCTTTATCTCCTCTCTCCCTAGGTGCTCTCAGTCATTCCAATGGTTTTATTATTATTATTATTTTCTTTATTGATATATTAGAGAGACAGCAGGAGGAAGAGGGAGAGAGAGGTGGAAACGTTGATGAGAGAGAACACTGATTGGCTGCCTCCTGCATGCCCCCCACTGGGGATTTGGCCCACAACCTGGGCATGTGCCCTGACTGGGAATTGAACCAGCAATCGCTTAGTGCCTGGGTCGACGCTCAACCACTGACCCACACTGGCCGGGCATTCCCATGGCTTTAAATTCCATCTATTGCTGATAATTTCCAATGCATATCCCAAATGTAAATTCCAGATTCATATATCCATATAGTTAAAACTCAACTATGTATCTCAAAAATAACATGTCTACAAATAAAATATTGATGTATTCTTCTCCTACTAAGAAGAATAAGAATAAGAAGACAAAGACAGGGAGGAGAAGGGGAAAGGAGGGAAGAAAGGAAGGAAAGAAGGAAATATTATATTTGTGCTCTAACCCAAAATCAAGATGTTGCTTACTTCTCCTATTTAATCATATTTAATCCACCAGCAAATGGCCCAGCCTTCTGTTTATCCCCACTGCTACTGCTTTAGATCAGGGCATCATTATCTCTCACCTGGGCTACTGCTGTATCCTCCAGATCACCTCCCTGTGTCTGCTCTTGTTCCTGCCCAGTTCATTATCAAAACAGGGATATTGTAAAATCACAAATCAGTTCATGTCACTCTCCTGCTTACACTCTTCAATGGTTTGGCAACTTCCCATTGCACTTGGAATAAAATCCAAACACCTGACCCTCCTTACAGCTCTGCCTAACTGTCCAGCTCCATCTTGTGCCACCTGCCCTCCATCCCCACTTTTCCCCACCTTGGGGCCTTTGTGCTTGCTGATCTGTCTACCTGGAATGCAGCCGGACTCCAGCCTCCTCCCTTCATTTGAATGACAGGCTTCTATTCACCCTTCAAGTCTCCATTTAAATGTCATCTCACAGAGCCTTTCCAGACTACCTCTTTTAAAACAACCTCACCCATTTATTCTTTTACAAGGCCTTGTTTGTTTCTTTCCTAGTATTTGCCACAATTCTAAATACGTATTTTTGTATATTTGCTATTTTGATTCTCAGCCCCTGCCCCTCATTCATCTCATTCTAGATAACAGGATCGACATGCTGTTTGAGATCAGACTCTGGGTGCTGTTGCCCCTCCTTTCTCCCTTCTTGGAAGCTAGCCTGTGCACTGAGGGTATCCGTCTGCGTGCTCTTGTCAAGAGTTCCATAAGAACAAGCCTGTGCTGGTTCAGCACTGCCTGTGGCTGAGTGCGAAGTCCAATTCAGGACTGAAGTAGTAGGAAGTCCACCGCGATGATTCTACTAAGTTGTGGCCACAGCAGCTCCATCAGTACAGAATGCTGACATTTCGATCTGGATCTCAATGTCTTTGGAGATCAGGTAGAGGAAAGAGAAGTGCTATATATTGACCCTTATAAAGACCCAGTATTTCTTTCCTGAAGTTAATGAAAATCCAGGTCTCTGGCTTTTTAGTCTTCTTAAGCAATGGTATTTTTTCTTTAAACAATGTATATGTTAGTCCAAATAAGTAAAAAAAAAAGTAACAAAATAAATGCAGAGATGTCCTAATTATAGTAGTGACTATATTAATTATTACTTTTTGTGTAGTAAGTAACAGGAAACTAATTCAGATTAACCAACAGTAAGAAAAATTCATTGGTTCCTGAAACAGATTATTTGGGAATTTATCTGCCTCAGGGAGAAGTTGATCCCGGGAATTTCTTTGCTCTGTCAAGAGCTCCGAGAAACTCAAGATGGGAAAAGAAATTATGCTACAAAGTGTTGGATCTTTTTTTAAGAGATCTCTGACCTCATGGTTGTAAGATAGCTGTCAGAGACTCCCAGGGCTACTTCTCTTCACTCATGCCCGTCAGCAAAAAAAAGCATCTCTGCCAGAAGCATCTCTGCCAAAAATTTAAAGAATTTTTAGCCCTAGCCGGTTTGGCTCAGCTGTTAGAGCATCAGCCCGCGGACCGGAGAGTCCCGGGTTCAGTTTCTGCTAAGGGCACGTACCTCAGTTGCAGTTTGTCCCCGGCCCCGGTGGGGGTCGTGTGGGTGGTAACCAATCAACGTTTCTCTTCCTCTCTCTCTCCCTCCAGCTCTCTCTGAAGATAAATGCAAAAATGTTCTAGGGTGAGGATAAAAAAAAAAAAAAAGAATTTGTATATGCTTTCTTTCTCCTTAGAAGCA